TAGGCAGTTCAGAATATGTCTGACTGTGCTATTATTTACTACTGAAAAAAACATGGCATATCAGATAATCATTGCAAAGGAGACACACAGGTGTTGCAGAACATTACATTTTGTTGTTTCTTCATTCCTGTACACAAATCTGCAAAGATGCTGCTTTATTCTGTTTTATTTTTCTTAAAAAATCTTATAAACTACCTTAAAAAATGTTTGCTGCTTTAGGAAAGTCTTCAAGATTGTCTTTTGTACGTTGGCTGCTTTTGATGTTTTCACAGTGATGGTGTGCAATTAAAAGGTGTTAGAAACTGTACAAGTAGATGAGATATAGATGCACCAATAATAAAGAAAATTATCTGAAAATGGCCTTTTGAAACCATTCATCCATTATATGAGGACTTCCCCACTGTGCAGAGACCTATGGACATCTCACAGAAGTGGACTGGACCGGCAGACGCAGACAGGATCTGCATGTCCATGCAACATTGATAGTTTGCAGAGTTGGTTTTCCTGCAGGATAGTATTTAACTTTGTCATCTTTTACCTATCTTCACATCAGTCATTCATTTTTAATAATTTATTGTTCTAATTTTGCCATTTAAGATGTATGAGCTGCCGATTGTTCAAAACCACCATTTGCTTTATCTGCTAATGAGATTCAATTGATCCTACAAATCTAGACAAGACACAAAAGATCTAACAGAGGACTCGACAGATGCATCATTCGTCAGTAGATTTGAAAGTTTTAGCCAGCATGTCTTTGTAATCAGCTTATTGGTACATACTGTAAGTAAAACTGCACGCCTGCACGAATGTGCGTTATTTAACTTTTATCAGATGCAACAGAAGAAACATCAAACAAAATGTGTCTTTGTGACATCTTGAAACACACTGAAATAGTTTTTGAATTTCTTTGTGTATTCTGCGTGTTTCTTCTGATTGCATTATTAGGATCTTTTAAAGGTTGTTTCACCCTTTTGCTGACAGTTCCCACTGTGCAAGGACCTAGTTTAAAGTGCTCTGGACCAACGGACTCAACATAGACATGATCTGCACGTGCATGCAACCATGAATGTTTGCACTCCTGCGGTCTTCTTCAGAGTTTAGTTTTTTTAACTATTTATAGATCAGTGTTTAGTGGACTAGCCAACAAAAAGTGGCAACACTTTACAAAAAGGGTCACTTTATTAACATTACTTAGTGCATTATGCATTAATAAACTATCCCCTCCCCTAGCCCTTTGTCCTGTTAAGGACACTTAATAGTTAACAATAATGGTAATGTTGATAAAGGGACGATTTGTTTATTAATGCTTAATAATGCACTAAGTAACGTTGATAAAGAGAGCCTTATTCTAAAGTGTTACAAAAAATGTATTAAAATTGACAGGGAATTCATAAAATTAGTCAAATAAAACATCAAAATAAAAAGTTACCAAAAGGTTGAAAAAATCTTAAAAGCTTTTCATTAAATTAAAATTGTGTGTCATCTGAAACAAAAGCAAGAGTTTTATTTTTAGATTTTCACACAAAACACCAAAGCTGTTTTGTTTTTGTTCAGCTGGAACACGTTCATTTATAAATGTCTTCATTTTCCCGTTTTAAGCTGTGTGCTCCCTGAATGTAACATATCAAAAGGACATGAACGTTTCCATGTACTCGATGACTGCACCATGACACATGAACACAGCCTCTGCTGAGTCATTTGTTTCACAGATTTTAAAACAAAGAATGACCAGCTGTCTGCAATAAAGCAACGATCCGACATGTTAAAGCAAATGAGAATTTTTAGCGAATTGAACTGAAAAGGGTTAAAACAAAATATTTCAGATAATAAAAGAAGAGAAACTAATGTGTTTTGTGAAGATTGAGGCATGTAAACAAATTTTAGAGCTTTAGATCAACATAAAAATTAAACAAAACTGAAATCTGTATAGATTTGAAACTATGAGAATGAATGAATCCAAGTTTTTTGTCAGAAAATTTGAACACCGGTTAAAATGTGCTCCACGCTGAGGCAGGTTTTTCCTTCACAAAGTACATGAGAGGGGAGCGGCTGATTACATCTGATGGATGTTGACACGGCGACCGCTACTATCTGACACAGAGGTGACATAACTACTCAGCCAAGGATTCATCTCTGATCGGATTCCTGTGAGACTGATCAGATAAAACCACAAACACACGGAGCATGACGCAAACCACAAAAATTGGGTTTCATCTGGAATCACTTGATTTGCCAATGGCAGAAAACTTTACTGCTGTTCTTGTTGCAAAAAGTGACACCTCACCTTGTTCATGTGTTTTGTTACTGCAGGGTATATTTGCACTAATTTAAGACGAAAAATATAAAACTTGTATGCATTAGAAAGATGCAATACTTTGATCAATGAACCATTTATTTGTTAATATTCTGCTTCAACATCAAAGTAGTTCCTTTATTTGTCAAGTGTTTGCATCTGCTGCACCACTTTTATGCAAATGAACTGCCTTTTGATGGGTTTCTAAACTTAAACACACATCAAAATGCTTAACTTTGCTCCAAAAAGTCAGTCGCTGAAGGCGACTGCTTCTATTGGTGGGAGTAAATCTGTCTGCCTCTGTACTTCATTTAAAAAAAAGGACTTTGAGGCCACTAGAATAAGCTCTGGCTCATTGTGAGAACATCAAAGACAAACTCCGGCCCCTCAACTGCCCTAATCATCAATGATCTGCAGGAGATATGTTTGGATTTGCCTCAGGGTCCCTTATCTTTCCCCATTGTTCATGACTTATTAGCATCCATTAATAAAAGCAATTATCCCCGAAACTTTAGGGATCAAACAAAAGGGATGTTTGAACGTTTTACAGTAAAGACATTGACATTTAGAGTCTCTATAGGCTGCTTGACTTATTTCAAGCTTTATGCTTCTTTTTATTACTGGTATAGTTTCCTTCGTTGTGCTCCTGTCATTTCAAGTCTCTTGACCTTACTGTGATTGTGATAAGTTTGATAAAAAGATTGTAATTTCCCATTAAGCTTTGTTTCATGTACAATCCAAAACTTCGTCTTGCACATCAGCCACTAAGCAGGAATTTGTTTTTGCAGATGGGTTGCATCATGTGTTTAGTCCTGAGATTTGAAGATAAACAAAGTGCCTCTGCCTTCTTCCACTGAAAACTTTGACCGTATCCCATTTATGGACACGATCGTGTTGCTTTTTTACTCACAATATTGTGTTGATTTTAAGAATCTAATAACTAATTAGAAATAGTAATATTTGAACATGCAGCTGCATGCTAAGATCAATGATGAGAAGCTAACTTAAACACCCAAACTATTCATGACATTGTCCTATACGGTGAGTTTAGAAAATAATCAACCATTTAAATTTTGTTTACATCCCTAATTTTTTGCCAGCTTTACGTTTCCAGTGCAACATGAAACATTCAACTGAAAAATGTCACAATTACAGTTCATTTACCAAAAATAAACAAAAAACACATTTTGCCTTAATAACAGCCTTGACTCTGTTCAAACTTCTCTATCATCTTTACAAAACTAAGCAATACACTGAAAAATGGGGTTTTCCAGGTAGTTGAAAAAATAAACACAATTTTTGATATTTTATCTTATTTTTGGTATTAAAAAATCTAGAAAAATAACACAACTTAAAAGAGTGAAATATTCTTTAATATTATGATAATGTTCTTGTTTAGAATAAAATAAGGTTGCCTATGAAATAAGCTAAAGATGCATGGCTAAAATTCTTAAAACTAGAGCTAATAGTTAAAAGCCTTTCTTCTTCTAAAAATAAAAAAATTGAATAAAAATATGTTTGCACCATTTTTGACTACATCTGTACAGTCGGCATTTCCGCCCTTTTTTCTGATTGGTTATTTTCGAGCTGGCTAGTCCCGCCCCTCATGGTGCTCTCAGCCTGAGTAACCAGACTAGTTATCTGTGTAGATTTTAACAGAGGAATCTGGCAGGCCAGGCTACAAAATCATAGGAGGTAACATAAAGCAGATCAAAATGTTTAGATTTTTAGATGTTTTGTTTTGTAGTGATGTGTCGGTCGCGAACGAACCAGCTCTAAGAGCCGGCTCTTTGAAGTGAACGACGTGAGCCGGCTCATCATTGGGAGCCGTCCCCTCCCCTCCCCCCTCCCCCCCTGCCTTGGTGAAAGCTACAGGCGATTGGTCAACATGTGTAACTGCGTGTCCAGACTGTCCACACACAGAGCAGTAGGGGCGGGGAAGAGGGAGGATCAGACTCAGACACACAGCAGAGCACGTGCGGGCAGAGGGAGACGAGAGGGAATGAGGAGGAGGAAAAAGGCGAGAGAGAGAGAGAGAGGAGAGTGCAACGAAGACGGTGAGAAAATGAGCGCCAGCAGTCAGAAAGTGGAGATTTCTGAAAGTGTTCAGTTATTAAATCCATAGAAATGATAAATATTTGATATATTGCATTTTTTTACATTAGTAAATCATTTTACATATAGTTTTGCATTATTTTGGTTAAAAATTTACTCTACGCAACAGAAAATCTGAGGAGCCACTTGGGAGCCGAAAGAGCCAGCTCTTTTTGGTGAGCTGAGCCAAAAGAACCGGCTCTCTAAAAAGAGCCGGAATTCCCATCACTATTGTTTTGCGCTTCACGCATTTGTCCTTATTGCCCCAAAAACACATTTTGCCGACTGTATTTATTAATTGTAGATTTTCCTCCACATTTTGTGTTAATAATTTCAGTGTTATCTTTATACCACACTATCCTGATAAAAAAAAAACCTCTTCCCCGTTTTCATTGTCTGTTTGCCAGTAAACAAGCCAGATAATCACACATTTTCAGCATATTTTTGTGATTAACCTGCAAAGTTCACAGAGTCTAAAGCACAATTTGTGTTAGAATTGCTGCGTAATTAATACTAACACAGAACGATTATGGAGAGGGAACTTTTCCTCGGTCCACGCAGCCTATTAGAGGTGCGCACAGAGCAGCCAATCAGAGGCAGGCTTTGCTCAGCTCAGTTAATCGTGGATTTGCCACAACCGACTGCAGTCAGGAGCTCCAGCAGGGAGAGGTAGCCACTGCCATTCACTACTCAGCCTCTAATTTATTATTAGCTCTCTTGGATTTATCCGTTTGGCTTTTTTTTTGCCCATGTTCTCACTTTACGCAGCCCAAAGCCGCATATTTGGATCTCAGGTGTGAAGGTGCACGTTGGGATTTTTAGAGAGCTGAACGTTCGATTCTACAACCAAGCGATGGCCCTTTAAATCAAGCCGCGGCGCGGTGGTGCTGACAGCGTTGCTCTGTTTTCGCGTCCCCATGTTTAAGACGGTCAGTTACCCGGCGGTGGATCCTGCGCCCACCATCATGCACGGCGCATGGCTGACCACAGGCTGCCGAGAGAACGCGCCCGTGGCGGTGGAGAAGCCCAAGAAGAAGGCGTTCAGCCTGGTCAGAATAATGTCTCTGGGTAACAAGAAGGGCCACGAGCACAATCCGCATCACAACAACAACATGCCTTTCACGATCCACTGCCAGATCGGGAAGGAGATAAAGCACATTTGCAGCAACTGCAGCCGCGGGAACAACACGCAGGACGGTGAGTGGGCTTGTGTGGCGTCGCCCGTGTGTTGTTTGCAGCATCCAGGTTCCCGTGCTTGTGCGCCTCTAGGCTTCAAATGTGCTTCTGATATGGAAATCAGATGCGTCTTTCCCTTCTCTCTCTTACTGTTTCACGAATTATTTAATTTGCACCTTAAATATTAAAACAGTCAAAGATAATTTACTGTTGCTGTTTTGGCCTCTGCTGGATGAGAACTCCAGCTCTCTGGCTTGGCCTATTTTTCACATGTTTCCAAAGAAAGAGACAGGAAAGCTCTCCTAATGTCCAGACTTTCTAATCCCTAAGAACAACAGCTCTACAGCCTGTTTGCACAACCATTTTTTAATTCTGTGTCATTACATCATCGCTCAGCCATCTTGGTAGCCAAACAAGTGTTTTTAATTAAAACCAGTAACACAACAAGAGGAGAACGGAGCTATTTTGCAATAGGATGAAGGCTGGACACAATGCATGAGGTCAGGGATCACCAACTCTCTCACGGAACGAGCTTCTTTCTCATCTATGAGGGTTTTGAACAGATTTGAAGACGTTTGCTTTATTAAAAAGTTCTTGGGTGGTTGGAGTATTGAAAACAGAATGTGTGTGGAAGTTGCTAAACCATGTTGTTTCCTGTCAACGCAGGTAGTTTGATTTATGCAGGTATTTATGGAATGTGTGCTGATAAGATTATTCAAGTAATTATCTGCAGGATGTTAATGTCTGTACTGCATTATTGTCGCATTATTCAGAGTGCTCTTCCTTGTTTATTTGTGTTGGCAAATATTGTGAATGTTTTTTTTTTTTGCAGTGCACTTGCATCAGCTGACAGCAAGGCTATGAGGGACAAAAACAACAGGCATTAGAAGCTGGGTCAGAGGTCATTTCTTTTGCAGGGCTTTGTGCATTTGTGTCAAATATTGTCTAACACATCTGAAATTTCAGGTAATCTCATTTGCTATTCAGAATTTTCAAACAGATTAAAATTTCAGACTAATTAATTGCAAAAGGCAGTTTCCAAAGGATGATTGCACTGAATAATAGGAAAATAAACTATTTTAAAAAAGCAAAATAACCCCTAAATTTCACAACTGGTTGTTTGATCTGTGTTTACATGTGAAAACTGGTAAGGAGCCTTTGGAAGAATATTTTACTTGTATTTTATTACAGAATTATTGGTATTAAGCCACATGGTGGTGGCATATAAGGTCAAAGGTCAGACATTCATATTCGTGGATTTCTGGTAAAGAATAAAGTTTGTGGTTTCATTAATTAAAGCTAAAATCATAATGTAGATGCCCCATTGGTCACTGGAGGGCCTAACAGCATCACTGCTGTACTGGTTGGGTCTTCTCATTCTCCAAACCAACTGGAGTCATCCCAGCGTGAGCAACCATACCTGTTTTTGTGCAGCCTACGGTTGCAACAACCCGTCTACTATTGAAAATAGACCATGTAGGATTACTATTGACTTTTCTAGCCAACCTGTAGGGAGTTTATATTTCAGTTTTTACTTTTATATGTTTCATATGTTTATATGTTACACTTTTAATTTAATATGTTTTATTTGTTTTAATTTTGACAGAAATAAACAAAATAATTCTAAATTATTTTGTTTAATTATATTTATATTTTATTTATCATGCCATACTGTATGTCATACTATGTGGAAAAAGTGTAATAAAATGTGTTTTTTAGTTGGGTAAATACCTTCCTCAGTAAAAATAAATGTTCTGGGGGTGAATGGGGACCCATCCAAGATGGCAGCCGATCACTCCGTCAGCTCCAATAAGCAGCGTCAGTCCACAGTGTGTAAATTATGTCTGTGAAAGCAACCCCAGATCATTATACTATTACCACAGTGTTTCTCTCTGAAATTCAACGGAACACACACCTTCCAAAAATTTCTAATTTTGCATCATGGACATATTGAGGAGCATTAAAGGGAAATGTAGCAACTTTTTCGTCGTCGTTGTCTTCCTCCGCTTATCCAGGTCCGGGTCGCGGGGGCAGCATCCCAACTAGGGAGCTCCAGACCGTCCTCTCCCCGGCTTTCTCCACCAGCTCCTCCGGCAGGACCCCAAGGCGTTCCCAGACCAGATTGGAGATGTAACCTCTCCAACGTGTCCTGGGTCGACCTGGGGGCCTCCTGCTGGCAGGACATGCCCGAAACACCTCCCCGGGGAGGCGTTCAGGAGGCATCCTGACCAGATGCCCAAATCACCTCAACTGGCTCCTTTCGATCTGGAGGAGCAGCGGTTCTACTCCGAGTCCCTCCTGAATGTCCGAGCTCCTCACCCTATCTCTAAGGCTGAGCCCGGCCACCCTACGGAGGAAACTCATTTCGGCCGCTTGTATCCGCGATCTCGTTCTTTCGGTCATTACCCAAAGCTCATGGCCATAGTTGAGGATTGGGATGTAGATCGACCGGTAAATCGAGAGCCTGGCTTTCTGGCTCAGCTCCGTCTTCACCACGACAGATCGGCTCAGTGTCCGCATCACTGCAGATGCTGAACCAATCCGCCTATCGATCTCCCGATCCCTCCTACCCTCACTCGTGAACAAGACCACGAGATACTTAAACTCCTCCACTTGAGGTAGGACCTCTCCCCCGACCCAGAGTTGGCAAGCCACCCTTTTCTAGTCTTTCTCCATGGCCTCACCAAACTCCTCCCACGCCCGAGATTTTGCCTTGGCAACTGCCACTGCTGCACCCCACTTGGCTATCCGGTACCTGTCTGCTGCCTCCGGAAACCCACAGACCAGCCACACCCTGTAGGCCTCCTTCAGCCTGATGGCTCCCCGAACCTCTGGTGTCCACCGGGGGTACGGGGGTTGCCACCACGACTGGCACCAGCCACCTTACGACCACAGCTAGCAACAGCTGCTTCAACAATCGCAGAGTGGAACAATGCGGTCAAAGCTCTGCCGGAGGTGGGAGTTGAAGACTGTCTTAACAGGTTCTTCCGCCAGGCGTTCCCAGCAGACCCTCACTATGCGTTTGGGTCTGCCAGGTCTACGCGGCATCTTCCCCTGCCATCTGATCCAACTCACCACCAGGTGGTGATCAGTTGACAGCTCCACTCTTCTCTTCACTTGGGTGTCCAAAACATACGGCCGCAGGTCAGATGATATGACTACAAAGTCTATCATCGACCTGCGATCTAGGCTGCCCTGGTACCAAGTGTACCGATGGGCATCCTTATGTTCAAACATGGTGTTCGTTATGGCCAAACTGTGGCTTGCACAGAAGTCCAATAACAAAACACCACTCGAGTTCAGATCAGGTGGGCCTTGTCCGGGGATCGGACCGCCAAGGCTCCCGCCTTGGTCTGCCACCCGATCCACACTGCACCAGACCCTTCATGTTCCTCCTGCGGGTGGTGGGTCCACAGTTGGATGAGCCCATATATCCGGTTCGGGCTGGGCCCGGCCGGGCCCCATGGGCGAAAGCCCGGCCACCAGGTGCTCGCTCACGGGCCCCAACCCCAGGCCTGGCTCCAGGGTGGGACCCCGGTACCCCTCCGGGCCGGGTACTCCGACTCTTTGACTTTACCTCCATGAAAGATCCTGTGAACCATTCTTTGTCTCACCCTTCACCTAAGACCAATTTGTCATGGGAGGCCCTACCAGGGGCACAAAGTGCCCCAGACAACATAGCTCCTAGGATCATTAGGGCACTCAAACTCCTCCACCACGATAAGGTGACGGTTCAAGGAGGAGTAGGAGTAGAAGGAGCAACTTTTTCATATTTTTAAATTATTTTTTTGAGCCAGTATGTGCTAAAATGACCCTTTACAGGGTTAATGAAAGGCCACTCAGTCCATATCGCCCCCTGTGGCCAGAAAATCGCACTAGCAACAACACAGTTGCCAGTTCAGTCTGTTGGTACTTAGAAAAAATGATGCCAACCTACCTGGCACTTTAGTTTGGTTCCAGCACGTTTCCTGTATGTTTTAGATCAAGAACACAGCTGATTTGTTTAATTTGGTGATGAATCACTCCTCTAGACACTTAGTAACGCTGGGAGATCAGCTGTTAGGTCAAGGTTAGGTCAAGGTGTTATAATGACGAATGCAAAGCGAGGAGATACCTTTTGGTTTAGCTTCTACAATCGGACTCGAGGGGGTGCTAAAAGCAAACAATGTGCCTAGTATCCCTTTAAATGTTCTTCATGGCTTCATTGGTTCTTGAATTTCTTAACATCAGGACACAATGTGTTAGTTTTTCGAGATCGTTTAGCCTACTCTATGTTCTCCGAGTCTAGTTAAGTGGTGTGTGAACTCCTCAATATATTGTGACATTGATTTTAGGCCATATCGCACAGCCCTAGAACATTGTAAATAGGTATGTCCTCAGGAAGTGAATAAGCAGTAGAATATTTACATTTCAGTCTTCAGTTGGCAGTTAAATAAAAATCAAAGTAACTAGATGCTAGCATATTGTGGTGGTTTTCATGCATCTCATAATGAAGAAACATTATGCAAACTTATTTTATAAGATAAAATGTTACCAGTAAAATCAATTTTAAAGTTTTACTTGGGCTGCTTGAGACACAAATATCTACGGTATGTTAAAACCTTTTATAAAATGATTCTTCCCATGTTTATTCAAGTTAGAGCCCATCAAAATGAGTTTCACTGGTTGTCTACCTTTTATTCTCCACGTCGTCTTGTGTCATACTCGTTAGCTATGTAAGTGGGGAGGTTTGTAGTCGTTTGCAGTTGCATCAGTTTGTTCATGTAATAGTTTGCACTGGGACAAGTTTTTCTCCACATTCTTAGCTTTTGATGTCAGATGGTAATTTGAAGCCAAAAGGCTGGGCTTTGTGAATTTTTCATGAAGAGTGGGAAGGTTTTTCTTTAATGAGGTGCTTATCAGTCTGTTTAGTGTACTTTGGCAAGACTTGGCTCGATGTGGAGCAGCCTCAGACTGTTTATACTCTGAGTGTGTTCTACATAATGATATCTGACGTGCGGGTTTGTTTATGCTCTTGGTTCAGTCTCATCTAGTTACTACAGATTTCAGGACACCACTTGGCACAGATTTCCATTTCTGGGATCTTTAGAGAGCCAAAGTGTGCCGCGTTTGCTGCTGATATTCTCCTGCATAACAGTTTACCAGAATATCACCACCTCTGCTTCCTCACCTTAACTAGACCCATGTGTTATAGCTTTTGTGTTTTCTGTTTTTTTCTAACAGCTGATGAAGTAGAGAGGCTGGCTGCCATGCGTTCCGAGTCTTTGATCTCTGGCACCCATACCCCACCCATCCGTCACAGGAGCAAGTTTGCAACTCTCGGGCGCCTCCTCAAACCCTGGAAATGGAGAAAGAAGAAGAGTGAGAAGTTCAAGCAGACCTCTGCTGGTATGTGACAAAGTTTTCCTTTATTATGATGAGATTTCTAGTAAAAAAAGGGCCCTGCTGGAGTAGATACCGCACAAACTAAGATCATCTTATGATAAATGACCCTCACTCGTATAGCACCTTTCAGAGTCAGAGTACTCCAAAGTGATTTACACTAGAGTGTATCATTCACCTATTCACACACTGATGGTGATGAGCTACAGTGTGGCCATAGCTGCCCTCGGGACCACTGACAAAGACCAAGTTCACAATCGGTCATTCTGAGTTTCACATGCAGGCTAAATGTGCAAATGGTGTTCTACCCTTATTTCCCTAATGAACCACTGATAGTATGGAACTAGGATTGGGACAATATTACAATTAACTTGTACCATGTTATGTCACTGTGACTTGTTTTGTTGCATGTCATTCATGTTTTGTAACACGTAACTTTCGTTTTGTACAGGTTACTTTAGTTTTGTAGCATGTAATTCTTGTTTTGTAAATGCCACTTTGATACAAAACATGAAACTTTTATTTTGTAACTTGCAGAAAAAATGTTATGTACAAGTTTCAAATCACAAATCTCAACATTTTGTCCCAATTCTAGCTTGCTTCCCAAAGAACCAATGACAGGCCAATTCCTGTTGGAAGCAAGCTAGAATTGGGACAAAATGTTATGTATTTGTAGGCTTGAGTTTTGTAACTGTAGACTGAGATTTGTGTTTTGAAAGTTGCGATTTGAAACTTGTACATTGATTTTTTTTTTGGCAAGTTACAAAATAAAAGTTTAATGTTATCAAAGTTACATATTACAAAATGAGAATTACATGCTACAAAACAAAAGTTACGTGTTACAAAATGAAAGTTGCATGTTACAAAACAAGTCACAGTTACAAAACATGGCACAAGTTAAATGTAATATTGTCCCAATTCTAGTTCCATATGATAGAAAATAGACGGAGAAATGCTCAGATTAGAAAAGCCAGTCAGATCTACGTCATTTCGCTAAATTAGCATTCATAGACTCACCCATCTTAGCTCGCAATGAAGAAGGCTTTTGTTCATTTAGCATCCAGGACACAGCAATGCACGTCACCACTAGTAGAACTGTTAGCATTAGCAATTTCACCACACAGCAGAACTCCTCCAGGCTTGTGTTATTTGTGGAGATAAAACATCAACATTGCAAATCAAATGGAGTCAGTGGTAGAGTCGCATTGCTATTAGCCATTCAGAGACGAGATTTCTGAATATCAGGATATAACACCCCAAAACCTGACATGCTCCGCTCACTTCTGCTGTAGCTCACTTCTTCTACCTGAAACTGGAGCGCCAGAGCTTTTTTTCCACACATAGACTGACTCACAAGGCATTAATTTATACTAGAGACCACTGCAGATGTGTTGGAAAAAACTAGCGAACTTGGTCTTTAAGAAATGATATACACACAGTATCCTTTAACAACCACTAAATTTAGATATTTATTCATTGTATGTACTTAAGTAGTAATGAACATTAGAACATTTTGTTTCAGCTGATCCAAAATAAAAGGTAGTAATGTGATGCAGAAAAGAGAGTGCATCTTTGGAGTTCCACATTTTGAAGTCTCTTTAGATTTCCTTTGATCTTCCAGCCCTGTGTTGTCAGAGCCAAGTGAAGAACAAGGCTTCCTCAGATGTGGCTGTGTTTATTTTTGACGGCTGACACATCCTGAACTGTGTCATTCTTCTGGGCTGGAGAAGGCAGACTGTCAGACTGTATGTTCCAGACTGAAAGCAAAATTCTTGCCTTTGTAGAGGATGATCAATTAGCTCAGAATCCAACCTGAACAGGACACACTGTTCCGGTTTAGTAATATAAAATAATTTGTTTCTCAAAGTGATTCAGTCTCTGTTTTCTGTAACGGTTAAAATTTTTATTTTTACCATCTTGTCGTTTTACCATTCGTAAGAGTTAGCCTTTTATGTTCGTTCTACCATTCAGCAAAGGTTTGGATGAAGTTTGGTTTTCTGGGTTATGATGTTTTCAGTCTGCACAAAGGAAGCTGATGAAATATATTATTTAGCTTTAGATGCCCGGGATTTTGATGTTTTACTGTGTTCCACAGAAAATACTTGATAAAATAATCATGCTGTTGCTTTAAATCCTCTTTGTCAAATTTGTGCGTGCTCCACGATCACGGCGTCTGTCTTTTGTGGTGAAGGACAATAATCAGGAACCGAGAAACAAAAGATGCTTTATTTTGCTGTTAATACAAAGTGGAGTTGAGAGAAATGGCTCTTTTCATCACTTTTGTTATCTACTCGCATTGTTTTCCCAATGCTGCTCGTTTCCAAATATTTTGCTGCCATGCTAAATCCCCTTTTAAAAAACCCAACAGTGACTCGTTCCATCTAACTGAATCACATCAAAGTCGAAAATGTGTTGTTTTGAGGCTGGAAACGGTTCCTCAAGTTGCTCTAAAAGCTCACGCGGCCACTTCAACTGCTTGTTGTGTATCTGCAGCTTAAAGCAGCACAATGCTCTGTCACAGCCATTTTAGCATGAAGCATGAGACCCAACTTTCAAAGCCCCAAATCAGTCAGATGTGGCCCACGCCTCTGCAGAAAGCAGTGCCAGTGCAGTAAATTCAAATGGCAGAAAAGTGGTGCGGATTCTGTGAACCGTTCCAGTAAAGCCAACATAATTTTTAGGGAAATTCACAGTGAACATTTTTTTTTGTAGGAATCCTCTCCAAACTTTGCCGTTCCCTGGAGCGGTTTCTCAAAGTGGAATGACTTTTAAAAAACTCACTGCAGTATTTTAGGTCATTGATGCACTGTTAGACCCCGGCTCATATTACTGGCCACTTATTCCTTTGTGCTGCTGCATTGTCCTCTAAGGACCTAAATGCTTTTCCTTTCTGCTTCCATCCTTTTATAATTGAAGTCAAACTGTTGATCATGTTTGCTGCGTCATTAGGGACCCGACCAGCTGCTGGGCATGCAGATGCTGTTATGGATAATTGAACGTGGAGCACTATAGAGGATTATAGATGTGGCACGATGTTAATCAGATACATACCAGCTCTGAGGGATCACGCTCTTACTTCAGGAACGATGGAGGCAGGACCTTATAGTTGTCTTATCATGCCGTCTTTGTAAATTTTCCACAGTGAAAGTATCAGAGAAAGATCTAACTCAGCAAAAGTTGAACGTTTAGTACACCGATGTTATCTTTGTGTGTTTTTAATCCAATTAGCAGATTTCCTTGCAGCCACAAGTCATCTGAAGGCTGTTTTCACACTTATTTTAAGTTTATTTCTTGAAGTAAATGTCAGATTTTTATTCCAGCTATTTATTTACAAATTATAGGGAAAGAAAAGTGCCAAAAGAAACCCAACATCAAAATCTTCTTGTAGACGTTGTGAAAAGTTTCCTGCATTATTTGTTTCTACGTGCATATGCGTGTGTGAGTGTATGCATGCATGCGTGTGTGTGTGGGACTCAAAAAGTTTCTTTAACAGGCTTTCCTTTGAGCTTTTCAGCCTCAGGGTGTTCTGACAATTTGGGTCACTTAGCTTGCTTTTTAAAAATGTATTAATAGTTTAAAGTACAAAAATCTTAGTGCATTGTTCTCCAATCAAAAGATTAGTGTGGCTATCACATTTATCACGCTCTTAGCTGAGTCAGTCTAATTATCATGTCTCAGTGCAGTTTTCTGAAGTTTTGCACCACAAGACTACCCTAAACTTACTGTGCACACTCCAAAGCTGCAAATATAATCTATATTTTTGCATCACAGACTTTTTGAATTCAATTCAATTCAAAAATACTTTATTAATCCCAGAGGGAAATTGATTGCTGTAGTAGCTCAGAATAATATTAATAATCAAGTCATCAAAGTGACATTTTCCCTACAGGAACACAGTTTTGAAATCAAAGAAATTAATTTCTCCTCCTTCAAAACAATAGAGAAAATATATTTTCTTAAGGATAGTTATTTTATCCTCTTCAGCCATTTTTTGTCACATGTCCAGTTCGGTTTTACTAATCCCAATGAATGTGCAGTGCCTATCTGCCAGATTGGAAGACACTTTATTCTCATTAAAGCTTTGATTTAATGGTATTACATAAGTGGATTTATCCCACTGCATGGCGATTATGTCATGAAGCATTGAATAATTGTTGTAGGTTGTTTTCTTTTTAATTGTTGGGTGAAATGGCTTTATAATCCCTGAACATATGACTGCACTTTTACTTTGGGCTTAGCTGTCGGTGCAGCTGTTTTGAAGGGATTTTTCACTGTAATTCAGATTACAAATACAAAATTCACTATGCAACTTTTTCTTTTTTCTTTTTTTTAAATATTTTTCTTGAGCTAGCATGTGCTAAAATGACCCCTTTTGTGAGGTTAATGAAATGCCATTCAGACCCCTACTGTCATCTGTGGCCAGAATACCGCATTTGCAACTTCAGAGTGGCTGACCTCCACCTGTTGGGACTTATTAGCGGACATACCTGACACTTCAGTCTGTTTCCAGCAAATTTCCTGCATGCTTTAGATCATGAACACAGCTTATTTGTTTGAGTTAGTGATGAATCACTCCTGTAGACACTATTGAAGGCTGGGGAGACGTTTCAGCAATTAGATTAAGGTGTTACAAAATAATACACAGTGAGGAGATAGGTTTTATTTTTGGTTTGACCACAGATAATAACGGACACCAAGGGGTGTTAAAAGCAAGCAAAACTGCCAAATGTGCTATTAAAACTCAGGTTTTATTTCTGAAATTTGCCATCAAACGAACTAATGCCATGTAAGCATGTTTGATAAATGATTAACTTTATTGTAACATAAAATGTTCTTTTGGTGACATCTTAAGGTTTTAACTCTGTTTTTCAGAACTTTAATCAATTAAATTGTATTTAACTCTGGAGGCAGGCATTGCAGACTTGCAACGTTAAAACCTACCTACCTGGTTACTCCACATACATAATTTATGAGCATTTTTTAACTCAGAAGTACCCCTGAAGGGCCTAGTTGTTTTTCCTTTTATCAAAACTTATTTTGAGCCTGAGAGGGTTATAAATCAAAGGTTAACAGTGCAGTTCTGCCTGTTGTGCACTTCAGAAAACTATCTAATAAAGTTGTTGCATATGCTGCCAGTCAGAAGAAAATGTGCTCTGTTGGTTCTGGGTCAGCTCTTTGATAAGTCTGTTTACTATCCCCCTGATATGCATGACCTAATGTTAAATTTGTTCTGCCTTATGGGAGGAAATAACTCTTTTTGATGTGAATGTCTGCAGAAGCATCCCAAAAATAGCATCTACAGTTGGCTCAAATGACTTTGATTTTGCGATTCTATTAATCCACCTTCAGCTGTGCTGATTTGATTTTCCTTTTTTGTGACATTTATGGGATAATCTGATTGTTTTATAAGAAATCCAAAAACAGCAGTCACCTAAACATTCCCCAAGCTTAGAATTGGACTCAAACTCGATTATAATATATATATATAACATCTAGAGTCAATTTCTAATTGCTGCCTAATATTCAGCATCTGTTAACCAGAAGTAACCCACAACAAACACATTGTTTTACAGAAACATGCTTGAGCCTAAATACCTCTCGAAGGTTCCAGTCTGATCTTTGCATGTTTGTTTTTTTGCTTTTCATTTTGGATTCACAGCTGCTAAATCTTTGCATAGTGGGAAAAATGAACTGGTTGTCCCAAATCTGTTCTGAGTTTGAATTAACATTGAACACATCTCCGCTGTTTCAAAGCAGGGACTCTTGGATCATGAAGCACAGATGGCAGAAGCTGTGCTGCAGAGGCCTGGTGGGAGGCTTCTGTGCACAAGTGTTGTTGCACGGCCTCATTTTGCATTCCTCAACTGGCTCGTGTACGCTAGGTTGGATTTTTAAAATAACCACCTTGATTGTTGGCTGCTTTCATTCGGCCAGGTGATAAGTGCGCCTCAACGCTTGAAGTGTAAAAATAGAAGCACATGGTTACTTTTTGATCTTGTGCATGATGTTATCACAACAAGAAGTCTTAATGGAGCATCTGCTTATTATTCCTAACATGTTTGTTCATCATTGCAGGTGTTAAACAGAGAAAACTCTTTATTTAGCAAAAACTAGCATTTAAGAGCAGTTTTGTCTAATTAAGTAATTGGTTAAACAAATGGTCATGAAAAAACGCATTGTACTTTTCCACATTGACTGGAAGTCTTAACTGGATAATTGTTTAGACAATATATATTTGGTTTATGTGTTAAACTTAGAAACATGCTATAAAGGTTGAACATCTAATAAAGTAGCATCTAATATGGAGATCTTGTCCAAGAAGAAGCCTAAGAAAGAGGTTTTCTACCTATTTGATTGTTAGAATCCACCTAAATCACTGTTTGCTAATGCTAAATATGCTTATATGTATACTTTTGTGCAACGGACCCTAGTGTACCTATGCATATCAGTGCATTGCCTCCAAATATGTATAGATAAATTAATGGTCTTGCAAAAAAAAATGAATACATAAAAATAAATCCTTTGTGGCATAAATTTTTCATTAATTCAGAGCACTTTGTTAGTTTTTAAACACCCACAGATTTTTGATTTATTTTTATTTGCTTTTTTCAACGAAGTTTAGTGAATGCAAAATGGACTCTGCCTTTTGGCTGACCAGTTCTCATTAATTTGCTGTTTTAGATTAGATTTGCCATGTTGTATTTCATGCAGTAATATATTAAACAAATTTACTTTGGGCACATTTGGACTCTGAATGTTATTTGACCTTCAAAACATGCTGAAACAAAGTGGATGGGATGTTCATTTATTTCAAATGAATACACATTTTCACCAACCTCATTTAAGTGACATAGCAGCGATGGTCAGCCCAGCTCCAGTCGATTTTTGTCTGTGTTGAGAGAAAATTTCATTGAGTTCTGCTGGTCAGGTCAAATGTATTTGTTAATTTTTTTTACTGCAAAGCTCCTTAAAAGCTCTGTGAAAGCATATTGTGTTACTATGGCAACCTGTAAGCATGAGCTGCTGTTCCAGCGTCTTTCAGCACATGATGCTTCTGTTTGAAACATGTCTTGTTTTTGTGCTTTTTCATTTCCAGTGTGATGATGACAAATATTCCGAGCCTAAGAGATCCTCTCTAAAACATCCAAGTCCACATTTTGTATTCACTCTTTCTGTTATTGAGCTCCTGTAGTTTATTATGCAACCACAAATTACATTAGTATTTGTAAATGTGGATATCAGTTCTCATTCTAGTGATAAAATACTTAAAGATTAGTACTACTCTATTATTATTGCATCTAATGTATTAGTCTTGTATCTACTGAATGGGTCTACCAAGTTTTAACAGTCTATTGTCAATACTACTAGATAACTTGATTTTTTTAAACTTCCAATTTTTCGTATTTACTTAAAAAATCTTTTCGTTTGTCAGCTTTGGAGAGGAAGATGTCCCTGCGACAGAGCAGAGATGAGCTCATCAAGAGAGGGGTGCTGAAGGAAATTTTTGAAAAAGGTAAATACTGTGCATTTGTGGTTTATTTAAAGGAAAAGAGAGAAGCTGGAACCTTTAAGTACAAAGGACAAAAACAGTATACATGGTACACAGAATTTCAGGGACTAATAATCTTAAACATCAATGGGTGTTTGATGTTTTTATATACAAATTGACCCAAAGCAAGTAAAGATAATCTGTTTGGCCTCAGAGCATTTCAAAAAGAAAAACAATAGCTATTAGTTCTCGCCAAAATGTCCGGAGAGAAGATGATATTTATATATATATTTTAATATATATTTTAAAAAGTGGTACAAATGAAGTGAAATTTGATGCGGCTGAAGTTGAACAGTCTCTTGGTGGCTAAAATATGTTGTATAATCAGGTTGTTGACTCCATATTCCAGTGAATTCCATCTACCTGCTTATGCATGATGATTGGAAAAAAAGACATCTGGTTAATAAATGGCCTTAAATGTTATTTTCTCAAATTCCTTGAATCCCTTTAAAGCTGTAAATCCTGGTATGCAAACGGCTGAAACAACACTGCTTTGTTTCCATTTTGTAGCCACCGTTGAATTCCGATCCTCGATGGACGCCGGCGTCTGCACTCAGGAGCCCTCGATCAAGACTTCTATGGTCCTCCCTGCCAAGAAATCCGTCACATTTCCCGGTGACCATCAGGATACCCCAGCCAAGCCTCCGCTTTACCACAAACAGCCACCTGCTCTGCCTCCAAAGCCTTTCTCTAGGATCCCAAACCATAGCACAGGCAAGTTTTCCTCCACAGGATCAACTGTATAATCATCCTGCTTGTCCCTAATGGTGTACCTGCGTTGCCACATATGTTCATGGGATTAGAGTAGTCTTATTAAACTCCCCTGGGGTTAGCTCAGCTGAGCTCTGTGTCAATGTCAATCTGTCAGCGTTGGAAAGAAGAATTACTCTGGCCTAATTCTCTCATCGGAGCCACATCTGATTATTGATGAACTGTTTTATCTGCTGGAAGTAGATTTGCTGTGACACAATGGAAATTCTTAGCAATCCTCAATCTTCCTCTATTATTTCCTCTCAAGATTCTTGCCAGCCAGTGAAGTTGCCCTGCATGCCTGTGGGGAAACACTCGCCGCCACTGCCTCCCAAGAAAGTGATGATTTGTGTGCCTCCAGGGGGGCTGGACTCCTCCCCGTCTCCATCCCCTAACCCCCTCAGCTTGCTTCCACCAAAGTGCGGCCCTCCACCGGGTGTGCCGCCCCACCACGGCATGCTGCTGCCCTCCCAGCTCGCTGGGCTTTCAGGGTTTCACCAGAGCCACGGCCACCCGCTCCAGCTTCAGTACGGCAGCCTGCACGCCCCCAGCCGCATCATCGAGGAGCTCAATAAAACCCTGGCGCTCTCCATGCAGAGGTTTGAAAGGTTGGCAGAAATGTTTACAGATGTTCTGAGCAAAATGAAAAACCTTGAAGGTCTCGTCAGAGTTCATACCAGAGTTTAAAATGAAGATCAATTTAAAACGAGACATGATGGTTAGTCATTCTTGTGCTTGCTGATTTTGATCATTTGTGGTGGCCATCTTGAACCTAGTTGACGCCAAAAGTTAATTAGTTGTGGATGAGATATTTGGCCAGCAGGCACAAGCAAAAACGTGTAAAACATATAAACTTCTTTCTGCAGGTGACCTTTAAATGGTAGATGGCCTGTATTTGTATGAGTTTTTCTCTAAGAACCAAAAAGATGGATTACTAAAGAGAATTCTCTAGTTTTTGTAGCTTCCTGCAGTGTCCAAAGTATATCGTAGCATTTTCAAGGTCGCATCCTGCAGCTCAGTACTGTACAGGTCTAAATCAGCACACTGCCTCTCAGGGCACCGTGGCCTAATTTTAGAGTAAATGTGTATATATATATATATGTGTGTGCGTGTGTGTGTGTGTGTGGGGGGGGGGGGGCACAGGTTTTCAGAGTAGGCGTCCCTCCAGCAGTCGGCCTGACATAACATGACCAGCTGCTTTTGACAAGAGCAATGTTTTCTTCGTGTTTGGAGAAAAGGGACACACTGTGGATTGGACATTATGTAATCTCTTACATTAGGATCTCTTTTTAACCAGAGCCATTCGGACCAGGATAAGGAAGTAACGGCCCTGCCAGGCCAAAAGCTCGGGCCGGTTGCGTAACAGTGGCTCATCATAAGGAGCTTCAACTGGGCCGTTAATAATCATTCTATGAAATGCGTTACCGGTTAGCCTGGGATAACTCAGAAAAAGAGTATTTCACCAGCTGCATAATCAGGTTTTTTTCTTTGTTGCTCAGAGAATTGCTGGGGATTGCGTGGGGCTGCACAGACTTGTGTTTGTGTTTTGGCTGCCTCATTCAGTTGGAGTTGCACAGCACATCTCCCCCTTTCTTTATAGCCAGATTAACAACCCACTAAGCTTCCATTACACACAGTAGAAAAAAAAGCCAATTTAATGTTTTATGCCACTTTCAGATTCTGAATGGAGAAATTCTGCAGAGGCTTTTTATCACAAGTTTGTGATTTATCTTCCCTTATTTAAACTATTCCTCGCCCTTTTTGCAAGACTGAATATTATTGACAATATATATATATATATATATATATATATATGTATATATGATATGATATGTTATGAACTTTTGTTTCATTCCTCAGCTCTGCGTTGCTCGGTAGTCTTCAGTGTGCGCCTCTGGAAAGAAGAGAAGTGCCGTCAGTGATTATCGACTATGAGGACGACAAAGAGAACATGCCCAATGAGTCAGACTATGAAGATCTGCCCAGCATGTATAAGGACGAGGATGACGATGTGGACGATGATGAGGATGATGATGAGGAGGACGACTCTATATTTACAAGTGAGAATTGATTAGATTAAAACAAATTTAAGACCATTTAACTTTTCCTTTCCCCTTGTGTCACTTTTAGATGTAACAGCAGATTATATTTGACCTTTCAGGAGAGAAAAGGGAAATGTGCTAAAAAAAGAGGTACTGCAGACATGCTTCATATTAATGTGTGTTATTTTAGTAAAGCAGTATAGATACTTTCTCGGTGGCCATCAAAGTCAAATTTTAACCCTGTATATTAGCCTAATATGAGCTCTTTAATGTTAATTGAATGTTTTTATCTTTTTTTAGGTACATTGGCAAAGAAGGTGCTACGAAAAGACTCTCTGGCCATCAAGCTGAGTAATCGTCCATCCAAAAGAGAGCTGGAGGAGAAAAACATCCTGCCCATGCAGACGGATGAGGAGAGACTGGAGTCGAGGCAGCAAATAGGCACCAAACTCACGAGGTGAATGCAGCTACACGCACAGCTCCTATTCAGAGTGTTTTCAGTCAACCTGACTGGTGTTGCTGCAGCCAACATAACAACAGCTGAGAGAAAACCGCAGTGACTCCTCTCAGCCAAGCGTCTTAAGCTGCACTGACTCACTCCAAAAATGGATCTTTTTAATTTCTCTTTTGTCTTTTCATTTTTTTTCTCTTCCTTCTGAACATTCGATAAGGATAAAAGCTTTATCTCGTTAAAGAGTCTGAAAATGGAGCTGACCTAATTTCAGTGATGCACCCTCCCTCCCTCCCTCCCTTCCTTCCTTGCTTATCTTGTCTTCTCTCTCACTCTCTCGCTTTCTCTCTCCTTTTTCTTCCTTCTTCCTGACTTCCTCCCTTGCTCACTGAATCACCACGGTGATGCGTGTGCCAGACCATCTCCACCCGACTCCAGCATACACTGCACAAGCCTTTTCATGGCACCACTTTTACATTCACAAACTACGTTGTGCAAATCACACAACGTGTTCGTGTTCGCATGTTGAAGTCAGAAAGGAGGTCTGTAGCCATTAATTTATCGTTATAGTTTTTCTGAACAGGATTTACATGGCAGTCGTATTTCTCAGCACATCTTTGCAAGCTCTTCTTTTTCTTTTTGTTGAATGCGGGTGAAAATGAAAAGCCTGTGATGTGCAATAGGATGTTGTGAGATGTGGGAAACATGGTTGGAGGGAAAGAGTATAATCAAAAAGCATCAGCTCACAAGCCAATATTCCCCACTGTGCCTGCAACACAGAACATGTTCCCAGAAGGCACGTTCCCAAACAACTCTGTGATGGTGTCCTTTGCCGAGTGTCATTGAATGCACACTTTCTTTTCTTATTTTTTACCAGCAGCATTACGTCCTATATAGCAGTTCATCAGAACTGATAGTGGTAATAACACTCTAGGACAAGCTGACCTCAGTTTGTCTCTGATCCACAGGGAAAACTACAGGAAGTGGGAAAAAAAGTGCCTTTGCTTTAGAAAGACAGTGGTGGTTTTCTCTTTTTGTTTCTCTTATCTAAGTAGAGCTCTACGAAATCCATTCAAGTCTTTTCTCACGCAATTCCTTTTTATTTTTTATTATCAGAATCCCTCTTTTGATTATCTAAAGATGCATTTTTCTCTGAAAAAGTCTGACAGATCTACATCAATCTGTCATTTAACATTCATGGACTCAACTATCTTGACTCGCAGTGTTGGGCAAGTTACTTCAAAACTGTAATGCATTATTTATTACTTTTACCCTCATTTTAAAGTAATTAATTACATTACAATATTACTGATTTTAAAATGTAAGGCATTACACTACTTTTGCATTACTTTAAGTTACTTTCACCAATACAACTTCATTATGAATCTGGTAATCTGACCCTCGGTGAGCTCATGACATATATGTGGAAAGTGATGTGGTGTCTGAGCTAGGATTGCCGTTAAAAACAGTCAGATATAATAACAGTGCTTTAAAATGATTGTTTATTAAATAAAAGCAACAACAATCTGTTCTCTCAGCACGCTGCCATCTTATGTTAACTGAGCAGGGAGTGAGGTGGTGGGGGCTCCAAGCCTATATTCGCCTTGGTCCCCAAATGCCTTGATACAGCCCTGGATGTAGGACTGACTTCTGGGGTGATCTGATTCTATCACTAGTATAAATATTAAAATGCTTATGTATATTATTGCTTTTCACTGGTAAAAATGTGTATTGGGGATAAATCTACCTACTTTTTTCTTTTCAAGCACTTTGTTTAGTTTTCTTGATTTTATTTGAATAATTTCCTGCCCATTCTCTCTCTAACCTTCCTGCATGCTGCATGTTTTCACCGTCTTCCAGAAAAACTGTTTCCTAGGTTTCCTACTTTCTAACTAATCAGCCAAAGGGATCTACCGAACGCTAAATAAATAAATCAATAAAAAAGCTTTGCGCTGTGCTCCAGCAGCAATGAGTTGAAATCACCGGCGCACAGATTATGAACTCAGCAGAAAAGTACATGAAGTACCAGAGAATATGGGCGGATATAAATGATTGCAAACGAATTACTTTGTTTGGGTGGAGCGATTTTGTGAATATAACAGCGGCCGCGTGCAGGACGCAGCTGGAGTATTTGAGCCATCACCGCTGTGTCCTCTCTGCACAGAGAATGCTCGCAAAGCTGAGTCCATAAATGACGTCATATATGTGGATACTGGTTCTTTTTTCAGGCTTCCCGCAATTTGAATTTTTAGGAAACCCACATCTTGATTCTGGGTTTAAAAATGCGTTGTAATTACCGCGTTACTGACCGAGTAAATATTACCATTTTCTTTCCCTGTAATGCCTTACATTACCACATTACAGCAAAAAGCAATGCATTACAGTAATTAATTACTTTTGTGCTGCGTTACTCCCCCACACTGTTGACTCGTGATGGGGAAGGCTGTTGTTGGATTAGCATCCAGGAAACAGCAGAGAATGTATCGGCTAGTAGAAGCTAGTTTTTAGCATTAGCAACTTCGCCGCATGGCAGAACTCCTTCACACTTGTGTTATTTGCAGAGATAAAACATCAGCGTTGCACATCAGTGGTAGAGCTGCCTTGCTGTTACCCAATCTGAGGCAAAATTTCAAAATATCAAGAAATAAGTCAAATCCTGTCGTCTGAAGCTCAGCTCTGATGTGGCTCACTGCTAGTTCCTGAAAGAGGCACACCAGAGCTTTGTATAACTTACAAAGTATTCATTCCTAGTAGAGATCACTGCAAATGCATTGATTAAACCAGTGAACCAAGCCTTTAAGAAAAGGATCAATCTTGCTGAAGCCAGTCAAAAACATTGCTTAAATCAAATCATAATTTCCAGCACTGATATGGCTGAAGCTATCTTCTTCTCTTTCAGGCATCTAATTGTCTAATTACTGTCTCAGTAATCAAACATAACCTCAAGGTAGCAGGGACCTCAGTTTTAAAGCTGCCATGCTACTGGCCTGAGTTTTTGTTTCAAAGAAACTGAATGTCAAGCAGAAAAAGTCATTTATAGAGCACAAAATTGCCGAGAGCAGGGAAAAGAGATTCAAACTTAAGAGTAGGACATTTACATGCAAAACCATGAAACTGAAAGCAGCAGGGATGGGATGCAATTTTGAGGTGAAGTAGAGCCAATGTGAATGCTAGCGGGGCTTTTTTTTTTTTTTTTTTTTACCTTGAGAGCTGAGTTTTGAGGGAGGGTACTGTGTGATATGTGACTATGTGCAAAAGACATTCTATTTGCAAATATGGGGGGTTGTTTTAAAGAAGACATGCTATGCAAAACTCAACTTTTGCATTTTGTTGTGTTGTTTTTCTCTACTCTCTCTAAATTCTCCAAACACGAAAACAAATTGTCCATCCATTTTCTGTTGGTGTTTGGCTTTAGGAATTATGTGCCTAAAAGAAGCCGTTAAAAAAAAACTCCCTGTTAGTGATGTCACAAACGGGGAAATTAGAATAGAACCACCTCTCATGTCACATGCAAGAGAAAGTTATTGCTGCTGGAGGAGCAACAGCTCTATCCCAAGCCTCGCCTGAACATTGGAGCTTCTTAGCAGACTGGGGTGGGTGGGTGTGGCCATCTTAAGCTGAAATGCCCTGAAGTGGTTCATCCTGGTAGGTACAGAAATTGTTGAGAATAAAACTGCTGAAATTGCTTTATGTGAGTGAATTTCTGCAAAGAAATCCAAAATATTTTTTGTGTTGATCATAGAACTAATATAACTTATAATAGTTCTCCTTTAAAGGTGTGGTTTACTCATTCATTCAATACATTTGCAGTAATCTCTAGTGTAAATCAATGCCTTATGAGTCATTAAAAAAAACTATGATGCTCCTGTTCTGAGATGCAGAAGGTTGCTGTTGCAGCAGGATTATTCATTATTATTATTAATGGTATGCTCATGCCTTGCTTCTGATTAGCTAACAGAGCGTGTTCGGCCATGTTGCAAAGTCACTATGCCAAACACACTCTCCGCTCTCTCTCCTTGCTGCAAAATTTTTATAAAAGCCGTCCTTCGGGCGGGCACAAGCCAAAATGAACCATTAATGCAAATTCCCAGTGTGACATAGATATGTGAGGATTTTCAAATCCTAGCATTTCACCGTCTACTTCCTATCGGAAGTTAACACAGGAGATAGGTGTAGGAAATAATAATTAAAAGGTGTTTTGTCGTTCAACCACATCTTTAAAGATGGAAACATGGCTCCATAAAGGATGGCACAAGATGAGACGAGATGAGTTGATCCAGAACAGTTTGCTCTTATAGTTAATGCTTTTTTTGTGTCTTTTACTTCTTTTACCACTTTAAAACAGTTTGGTGCATCTCCTCAGATGTCACACAAGATAAGAACAGGATGTGTCTGTACTGTTCCACATGCCTTTGTCTGTTTAAATTTGTCTCACAGAGTTAATGATGAAACCTTTCAGCTATATTTTCAAGGTGTCATAATCAGATTTGCCTCATGCAGCATCACAGGAAAATTGCGTCTGCCTCTTGCTCACTTTAATTACAGCATTGCATTGGTGGATTATCTCAGAGTCATCGATTGAAATGGAGATCAGTCATTTGTTATAAGGTTGAAGACGTGCACCTGTCAAGCAGTCTGGAGGCAAGGGGTTTAATTTGACACGCCGGGAAAAAAAACGTGGTTCTGTAGAAACAACTCGGAGGAGAAAAATAGGTTGCCTATATTTATTTCAGTTTGAAACATCATGACTACATCATAAGGTGTTACTCAAAATCCCAGTGTTATTAGATGTAGAAGTTGTCGGTGAGCAAAAAATGTCAAGATAACTTTCTTGGGACTTGCTGCCAAACCAGTAAAACTTGATGCTGGTGAAACCAGAATTTTTTTTTTTAAAGTTTCCCTGAATTGTTACTTAAGAGACTTATCTGCCCCCAAAACATCCTCATGCATCAAGATTCTGGCTTATGCTAGCAAAAATGCATGATTTCTTGAGATTTGGGTAAATTTATGCTCCTAAAAAAGATGCAGATGATCAGCAAGAATTTGTGAATAGCTCAAAGCATCTAAACATTAATTGCTTGATACTAAGTGTCTGCCAAGGAAACTTTTACTTGCAGGGGCCATTTTGGCTGTTGCAAAAAATATAGGTTTGGTCAACAGATTCATGATGTTGACGCCTAATTCTAACTTAATCCTCTGCAGCTTCAGCTGTCCACTTATGAAACCACGCAAGAATAGTTATACTGAATATGTTTGCTGTATTTTTTGTAAAGCAGAGGACCCACTGATATGTTCTAGTTTATTTTGAATGCACAAATGACATTGATCACTATGAATTTGCAATTTACACATTTAAACCATCCACCTTGTTGCACCAGCGTTACTTTGCTGAACTTGCTGTTGATCATGTGCTGAAAATGTCTGTTTCTCAACAGGCGATTAAGTCAGAGACCCACAGCTGAGGAACTAGAACAAAGGAACATCCTCAAACGTAAGTGTCCTAAGATCCTTCTAAAGCTGGAAACGTAAACTCTGAGATGATTGTTTAGCAATGTGTGATTTTGGCAGCATTCCTTGCACTTAGTACATCACACAACGTGGTGATTTGCCAAACGTTGTTCCACAGAGGAGTGCCATATGTTTCACCTCTTTCCTCCTTCTTGGCCGGTCATTTTTATGTGCAACGGGTTTGTAGCAGGAGGCTCCTTGAGTTGTGGCATCCAGGGTGACTCGTTTCTTTGCTCAGACACGTGCACCATCAGAGAGAGGTGGCTCTGTTGCCTGGGAATCTGCAGCTTTCACATCAAAGACTGGCTGCTTTCCCAGAGGCTCATGCGTGAAGCAGGCAGAAAGCGAGAAAATAAAGAGTGACACACTCAAGGTTAAACAAACACAACCCGTGAGGAGACGTCTAGAGTATAGGGAAACATCCATGCTCAGCAGAATCACTAAAGAAGCTTCTGCAAACACGAGCAGTGTCCCTGTATGACTCCTGTTTGCACATTACTTTCAGGCTTGCTCTTCTGAGCTTGTTGTTTTTGTCTCTAATCTATTTCAAATCTAGTTTATCATACACAGAAGCTCAGTTAAGAAGACAAATCTTAATCTGATGAATATTTTCAAATTAATTGTCCTCCTTTTGAATATTTTCTTTATTGCAAACATGGACCCAAATGGTCTGCTTGAAAAGGAACAAATTGATCTGCTTCAGCGCTAACGGCGTTAAAACGACCAATATTGGGAAGTATTTTAAGCTGTGAGAAACCTTTCCAGTTTAGTGTAAATCTAATGAGCCATGTTATGCAAATGCTGTTTAAACGCCTTCAACAGCTTCTAAGCATTCCAAGAAAAAAGCCCACTGTGTGCACATGCCTGTACTCGCATGACACCACTCTGTTTTTCTTTCTTTTTTTTTTTTTTTTTTTTTGCAGCTCGCAATGAGCAGGAGGAAATGGAGGAAAAGAGGGAGATAAAACGAAGGCTGACACGAAAGGTGAGGCCAAAGTAGATCAAAAAGTGCAAAATACACACTTTTCATAGATCGAAGGGAACAAACGCATGATAAACCAATACAGCGACAGTGAGTCATATGCAGAAACCTGTTCTGTTACAGGACTGGTACTGTTCTGCTCAAAGATGCCCTTGTTGTCCTTGCTCCTTCAGCATGTTGGCTGCTAAATCCTCCGACCCTCAGGGAGGTGTCGAGCATGTTCCTGTCGCTGTAAATTAAAGAGTAACACTTTTTGATCACCTGCTGACGATGCTCAGAGGAAGCTGTTGGAGACCTGACATTTGTAGGTGGCATGCAAATAAAATAACAGTGACATAATGAATAAACTAATGAAAGGATTCTAATCAGTGCTTTAATTTAACAGTAGGATATCTGTTGAATTCGATGTATTAATGTCTCCAGGTCTACGTTTCAAAGGAGCCAGATCATGCCATTTTAAGTCTTTGAGAGCAAAGATAGGCACAATATATGATAAAATATTATCATTGGCACTATTAAGATGTCATTTTATCTTAAGTAGCAAGTTTTTTATGCAATTAAATGTTTTAAAGCTGTAAAACCCCTCACTACACACTATCTACTTTTCTCAGACGGGCATTAACATTTTCACACTTTTCTTCCTTGCCTAAACACTCTCAGTGCCCTAATTATGATGCAGAACACCATGTGCTGAAAAACAAAAAAAGCATGCAAAATTCTGCTAAAGGTAGGAATTGTTTTCAGGTGTATTTATTAGTTTTCCCTTAAGTAAATGAAATGAGCTGCCTGAACACTTTTATGGGTTGCCTGGTGCACCAAATGCTGAATTATATTACGGTTGTAGCAGCGCCATGAAAACAATAAAACAACCAAGTGCGCTATTCTGTGTGTTAGGTTAGGGTCCAGCATTCCACTCCTCTCTTCTCCTGCCCCTGCTCACTGCCACCACTGTTAACTTTTAAAACCAGGAGAGACCCTGGATGTGTACTCGCCAAGCAAAGACCTTTCAGAGGGTCACATTTAATGCATTTCCTCCCTGCTGCAGACATTCTCTCATTTAAATTGTTCAGCTGTTACTAGCATGTATGGTTACTAGTGATGTGTCGGTCGCGAACGAACCGGCTCTAAGAGCCGGCTCTTTGAAGTGAACGACGGGAGCCGTCCCCTCCCCTCTTGCTTTGGTGAAAGCTAATGGCGATTGGTCAACATGTGTAACTGCGTGTCCAGACTGTCCACACACAGAGCAGTAGGGGCGGGTAAGAGGGAGGATCAGACTCAAGACACACAGCAGAGCACATGCGGGTGGAGGGAGATGAGAGGGAATGAGGAGGAGAAAAAAGGCGAGCGAGAAAGAGGAGAGTGCGATGAAGACAGTGAGAAAATGAGCGCCAGCAGTTGGAAAGTGGAAATTTCTTTGTGTTCAGTTATTAAATCCATAGAAAGGATAAATATTTGATATATTGCATATTTTTACATTAGTAAATCATTTTACATATAGTTTTGCATTATTTTGATTATAAATGTACTCTACGCAACAGAAAATCTGAGGAGCCACTTGGGAGCCGAAAGAGCCGGCTCTTTTGGTGAGCTGAGCTAAAAGAACCGGCTCTCTAAAAAGAGCCGGAATTCCCATCACTAATGGTTACTGCTAGCTTGATCCCGACTCTGATTGGTTCTTTTCTCGTCTAGTCCCGCCTCTCCCAATTGCTGATTGGTTCTTTTTTTTTCGTTCGCCTACCTTTTCCATTTTCTGTCTGGATTTACGTTAATGTCAATTATCGTTGTCGCCTTTTATTTATCGGCAGAAAAAATGTGCAAAACAGAAAAGGGTAAACTGTGTTAAAGCGAGGCTGCACAGGCTAGACCACCGTAGCCTACTGCATAGGTTATGGTGGTCTAGTGGTTAAAGCATCTGCCTTTCATCTTGTTTTGCCATGAGCTGAAGCCGGTTTGAGTCCTGGCGTTGGAAGTAATTTATTTAGCCACCCGAAGCAGATTAGATATTTTTTTATTTTAGTGCCTCTAAAGGTCTTTGAATTTGGTCATTTTCAAACAGCATTTTAGTTGATTTACTCTGCTCACCTCACATGGACTCACATTGGGTAAATAAACAAAGAAGTAAAGAATTAGATTAATCATCATGTATGTAACAGTTTACCAATAAAGGGTTGTAAACATAACACTGGCAAGTGTAGCTAAAAACGAAGAAAAAACGTTTCTGCTGTGACCAGAATTTGAACCGATGCAAAACAGCATGCTAAGTACTGTAGTTACTCTGACCACCAGGCTGCCAAGTCTGATACAAACAATTAGTTGGAGTCATCTGAGACATGAAGGTCACATCCTCAACTGCAGCATGAAATTAACCCCTCTATGCCTGCAACTAGGAGAAAGTGGGTGTTAGTGACCTACTTCCAGGGGAGGCAGTTTTCAGAGCCGAGAATAGCTTCATGGGGAGTAGAAAAGGCCTGATTACGCACTTAGTTTCCATCGAGGCTTTTGCAGGCTTTTCCAAAAACTCTGGACAGGAAAGTGCATGAATGCATGCCAAAAACTAGTCTGGGGGTATTTTTCATGAGGAAACAAAAATATCACATGGCAACGTTCCAAAAACTGGATTTTTCATGATAAGGCTCCTTTAAAATTCTAGGAATCACAAGCATACAGACTAATAGCAAACTATGAAAACTGCACAATTTCATGAGTCTGCTTTGTTCAAGTTTCCATTACTTAAAAGATCGAAAGTTGGAATTTAAATTTTACGTAAATTATTATTAAAACAGTAAATCTAGATAGGTTTTGCAAGGGAGAATACTAAACAGACAAGTGCCCAAACTTTTGAATGTCAGTGTAGTTGTGTCAACAGTAAATTTAATACTACTTCATGTTCGGTCACATAAAATTGTGCCATTACTAGAAAATCGTGATTGTTCTATAAAATGATGAAGCATTGTCTACAGAAGATTAAAATTATCCAATTTTTTAATTAGGGAATGTTGTTAGTTGATTAAACATGTGTCCTCTAGTGTTGTTCTGCCTTCTCATTAGGATCAAGAGTGATTTTCACGTGTGTAATCAGGGCTTCTGGCTGTACAATGTGACATTTCGAATTCAGGTGGAGGTTCTGAAGTTTTGCTCTTTAGCTAATGGTTAATTGTGTTTATTAAGAACCTGGTGCAGTAAAGAGCAACTGAAAAGTGTGGGTTGCTTAAGCAGCTGTCTTTGCACAAGAAGGACTGGATGTGCGTGTCCATATTTGATTATATGAAAAGTATTCAAGGATAGGAATAAACTGCTTTTTCCGTTTGACTTCATTATATGTTTTCCTTTATGTTCCAGCTAAGCCAGAGGCCCACTGTAGAGGAGCTGAGACAGGCCAAAATTCTCATCAGATTCAGCGACTACGTGGAGGTGTCAGATGCCCAGGACTACGACAGGCGGGCAGATAAACCCTGGACTCGACTCACAGCAGCCGATAAGGCCAGTATTGATTTGACTAATTTAATTAAACTGATGTAATCTTTTAATGTTTTTCTAGATTTATTCCTTTTCTATATATTTCACCACAGTTGGACTCCCTTTCCCTTATCAGGCTTTTATGTGATACAAACAAAAACACAGGACGTTGTCTCTGTAGAAGCAGTGCTGCTGCTCGTCTCTGTCCTGACTTTTACTGAGATCCAGATGATCGCTGATCAGATCTTCTGACTCATGACCCAGAGTGCCCTGGGTCACACCTGAACGATGCTTATGAAGATCATTAGGAATCAGCATTTGGATTACGTAACAACCGCTCTTATATAAGAGAGTAATTGGATAAGACGTGCTTCAGGACCTCCAGCCACATCACTGCCCTGCTGACGCATTATTTCTTCTTATTTTGTCACCCAGCACAGATTTTTGTTTGTTCTGCTGTCATCAGTACTTCCTTCCTGAAGCTGGAGACGTCCCCTTGAGTCACTTCTAATTGCTGAAAGCAGTAACATCACCTTGCTGGGTTGCAGTCATGCACAATACTTTAGATAGGATGTAATGTCCTTTTGTACTCTTATTTTATATTCTGAATTCTTCTACTTCTCTAGAGCATCCCACTGAGATCCCACTGAGAGGCAATGATCCTCAGGGTCTTGTTCCACACATGTATGAGGATGCTTATGCGTTTCCTAGGAAACTAGTTTGGTTTGAGCACAAAAATGTTTCCAAAAAGAGGGAATTATATATAAACATGTAGGAAATGATGAGAGACATGCACGTTTAACTACAGTGTCCCCTACTGAAATAATCAAAGCACTGCAGGTTTCAGTTCCCCTTCAGTTTTGCTCTCAAAATGTCTCCTAAAGCTAATTCCTTTGCAACAGGGTGCAAATAATTTGGAAAGAACAAGAAAGACATTGGCTTTAGTGAAGTATCTATGAAATTCTAATGTGTTCAGTGACCTGACATTCATTTTTGAGTCAGACATGAACATGATCTGAATCTCATTAAGTCAAAATCATAACAGCACTAAAGCAAGCAGTAGATAAAAGATTTTTCATAGCTTTTGGATTAACGTCCTACAAATTAAATGCTAAATAACTCAAGTCTGTGCTGTCTTTATCCTGAATTTTGAGTTTGAACTATTTATTTTGACATACAGAAATGTCCTCAGGTCTCAGGTTTGCCAGGTTGTCTATGCCCACCATTGCCACATGGTCTCAGGAGAAGGGAATACTAGGTATAAGGGAATCCGTAGTCCCTCCTCATCCTGGCTCAGGCAGTGGGATTCTTTCCTGATATCTGGTGACACTTCTGCAAAGGATGGCAGGTCAAAATTTAAACGTCAAAATAATAAATAAAAAAAACATCTCTTGTAGTCTGTTGGTCTGTCATGGTGAAGCTCTGGATTAACCCTAGCCCTAACCATTCAAGATGTTCCAACCCTCTTCTATAGTCACAAGCTTTGGGTAGTGGAAAGAATGGGAGCATGGAAACAAGCAGCTGAAATGAGTTTCTTTGTTACGTTCATTCTGTGTTGGTCCAAAAGAACCAAAAAATTGAATGAAATTAGTTCTCTCTTGTTTTCCGTGTCTTGTCCTGCTGTAAAGCAATCAAAATTGATGTCTGAGTGCCGAAGACCAGCCTTACAGTTTACCTCTCACAGGTGAAGCATTAAAGGCTCAGCTATAATGTCCCACTTGATATCAAAGTGTCATTAGAAATGCTTTCGATTGGGGGGAGGGTGACACAAAAATACAACAGAACCAAAATATCACTGCACAAACAACATGAGGATGTATAACAGTAACAATTTTTGCTGAAAAGCACACAGTAATAATTCATAGTGCATTTAGTGCCAACCACAGCCCTAGGTTATGTGTCAAAATGCCTGAGTCCATTCTTGTGAGAGCACCATGTGAGCACCTGTGTGTGTACACGTGCTTGTTAGGTTTCCCTTTAGGAGAGTCTAATAGTGATTGTGAGGGGCCACAGACCTTCCCCCAAAGACCCGCGGAAGATGGAGATCCAGAGATTAATGCATGTCATAGCTCCTCCTTAAGCCTGGTTTATGCTTCTCCGTGAGCTCCGCAAGGGACAGACACGCACGGATTGACGGAAGCTTTTTGCTCTTTTACTTCTCCGTCTCCTGGAGAGTGTTGCAAAGCAATTGCCCGGCAGGACCACAGAGGGCGTAGCGCTGTTCTGTGGTATCCTGTCATGTGTCGGTCCAAGATCGCGTGTTTGTATTGTGTTTTTTGTGTTTATAAGAGACTTTTAACACGGACATATTTGTCTCTCATTCTCCCACCGCTTCATGCGCTCCCCACCTCTAAACCCACGTTTCCTGTCATTTCCGTCCACAAATAAAACGCTTGCTGAGCATCTTTTCACTCCTCCAGTCACGGGAGAATTAAACGTTCATATTTTTAGAGTTTTTTCGCGAGGTATTCTTCAAGCTTCTCCGTGTCTGCCACTAGTTATCCTCGGCTCTCTTTGCAATGGCGGCGCTGTAAACAACAGCGGCGTCCAGACCAATCACAAGCTTACGTAATCCGTCTCGTTCGACGGATGTTTAAAAAAGTGGGCTCGACTCCGTACGTACTTGCGTACCTGCCGGAGCCCTACGCAAGGACGGATAATGGCGTTGCGTGTCTCCGCACTGACGCAGACGGAGAAGCATAAATCGGGCTTTAGAGATGGGGTGAGAAGCTCAGTCATCTAGGAGGGGCTGGGAGTAGATCAGCTGCTCCTCCACATTGAGAGGAGCAGCCGAGTTACTGATTGGATAAACCCAAACTTTCAGCAAAATTAGTCTATAGACGGCTGATTATCATATTAAGGCTCTTAGCTGCCTCAAGAGGGGAAATTTGAGGTACTTCAGATGTGAAAAGAGAATTCAGCAGAATTGTTTATGGCCTTGAGATAAATGTAAATGATGCATTAAGTGTACAAAAAACAAAGTACAGTCATGGCTTAGAGGCTACTGTTTGTGCATTGAGCCAATGTGGCTTATCTCAATCTTCTTTTCCTTCTTTTCTTCCCTCTGCAGGCGGCCATCAGGAAAGAGCTCAATGATTTCAAGAGCAATGAGATGGAAGTGCACGAGTCGAGTCGTCATTTAACCAGGTAATGAGCAGAAGAATTAGTTTGGGTGTGACCGTGCATGAGTAAACACCCTCTCATCTACCGTCGTTGCTATTCATGTGATGCAAATCTTGGTTTCTTTATGTTTTTGTTTCTATTTTTAGGTTTCACAGACCATAATAGACCACAACTGTCTCGAGCGGTACCGGACCCAGAGGTCCGCTCCACTGAGAACCTTAAGTGCTGGACGTTTAAAACGGTGCCCGTCTCTACGAAAACAAAACAACAACAAAAAAGGCCATGTCTTCTGAAATGCCTTTTCAGGACTTACACATCTGAGTCAGTACTACACCACACAGTGCAGCCACCCACTGCTCAGTCTCCTGTAGTAGCACAAAATGACTCTAGGTAATGCACCTGGCCCCTGTAAGGAATTCACTCGGCTGCCATTAAACCTCTCTGCTGAGCTCCCAGACTGGTTCTCAGCTCTGTGTGGACTGGGCAGCACAAGAGTCATTTTGATTGAGACCTATGACAAATTAACTTTGGTTCATCAGTAACATCAAATTTGTCTCAGTGGACGTATTTTTATCCCTTCCGCTTTATTTACGCAGACACAATGAACTCCTAGCTCCTGTGGACAGCACCAAATGGTGGTGGAGACTTGATTGTTCTGAGCCAGAAGCTCCACCTTCACAGCACCTGCTGGGACTTTTAAAAGAGACAAGAGAATGAGGCCTCCATCACTGGAATCACGTGCAATGTTTTTCTTTTACAGCTTTTCTTAGACTATAGCACCCCCTGGAGTGCGCTTTGTGTGTTTTATTTGTAGCCCTGCCCCCTCTCTTCATATGTGCAATTCAGACAAAATTGCTAACTGTGAATTTGAGAGCCTGGATCAATTCCACCCGCTCTTCAAATGTACATTTTGTTTATACAAAAGAAGAAAAGGTACATTCAAGAAACAAAATTAAAAATAAAAAACAAATCCACAGTTAAAATGTTCTTCATGCCTTAAGCATTCTGTGTGTAAAGAAAAGCAGCTCTCAGATATATTCTGGTTTCCGAGTGTGCAACATTTATCAGTTTATAACCTTTTTTGTTAATGTTTTGTTTGTCAACGTTTCGATTTATTTGTTTTGTTTTTTTATAATTGCATGTGTGCGTGTGCGCGCACGTGCGTACATAACAGCTGTACCGTTCTTGAAATGTGCGCTGTAATTTTCACTTTACTTTTATACTCCTGTTACTCAAGCTTTTTGTAAAGCGATACCCTCTGTTTGTAGAAAGATGATTGAACAGCAGATGGATCCCCCTCCGCTCTTTTATTAGTATTTATTTGTGCATCTAGACAGAGCTTGTATTTCATTTTTCTGTTTATTTTCTTGTTTATGGAAAGGCTTTACCCTTGAGGGCACATCCAGTGTTTCTCTTGACAGAACCACCAACAAACCCACCTCTTAAGCTTTACCAACACATTCATACGAGATCCTCTAAAACTGTCATTGAATAGGGGGGGTTCTTTATTTAAATGATGGTCTCATTCTCTGACTTACCTTTTGTGACCATTTTAACTGCTTTGCACAGTTGAGACTTCTTTTTTTCTCACAAATGTGTGAATTATTGTCAGGTTTTTGAGTTGGAACTGTCCGACAGTTGATCTCACACAAATGCTCACATTTTAAGCTTTATGTGCACAGAATGTTTTTTTATCTTTGTTTTTTATTATATCATAAGTGAATGAAACAGTTTTCAGAAGGTGGAATTTTTGGCAACCGATTATAATGCAGAGTTTCTCTTTTCAGTGATAAATGACCTAATGAAATCTGGGTATTAAATAAAGTTTGCAATGCATGGTTAGTATGTGCCAAAATGGATGTTATTGGTGTTCTGGGCTGTTTTTCGTCAGAATTGGAACTCCTTAAAAAGATTTCATTGGACCATCTAATCCTACAGAGACATATGCAGTGTTTTGTGTTAATATCAATAAGCTTAATGCATCTTTTTAAACACGGGTTCAGAACAATAGAGCATTATTATGGATTTATACAGTTTTAAGTGTGTAAATGAAATCTTGAGCCAGTGAACTGAGTTTAAGGTTTTGCATTTTGCTGGAATCGGTGAACATGAATTCAGCAATAACCAATTTCATTGATCTAATTGGCAGAACAAGTGAAAGTGGTCCTTTTTTAAACATTTCTGTAATGCAGAATTTCATGTAAGGAACACATACAAATTAAAGTTTATTTCTGAATGCATTTAATAGGTATGCATTATTTGTTGGATGCTACATTTCTTTATTATTTATTAGGACATTTGCATTTTATTAGTGCCAACTGAACTCAAGTTACTGCAGATATCCTCAGAAATATTTGGGCTGGGTTTGTTGATTTATTTGCCATGTTTGTAGAGGCAATTTCCAGACAAGTGACAACTTCTCAAACTGCCTCAAAGTTGGGAAAAGGCATATAGCATTCCAATATTCCTGTCCATGGCAAGAAACACATTACATTCATGTGACCTGGAATTTTAAGGGGTTAAATGAGCTGATAATGTTAGCTTTTTGGGCAAACATTTGAATCAGACCACAGATTGTGATGCATTTGCTTAATCCTTGAAACCATTTTAAATTCTGTCAGAATTTAAAATCTTTGTCAAACTGCCTCTTGGACATATTTTTTTCTCTTTTCTCCTTTTTAATCCCACACATCATTACTCCTGTGATGTAGTGAACATTTAAGGTGTTGAACCAATAACACCTACAATATTCTGATTTAGATGGGGAAACCACTGGTGAACTTCAGTGCATTTCATGGTTTGGGGAGGTTTTATTGTCATTTCAAATGCAAGGTTCCTGAAACTGATGATGGTGTGAGGACACCACTCTCTGGTGAGCTGTTGAGTTGTTTTAAAAAGCTTCAGAGAAAGGTAAAACGTGATAAATGTGTGCTCGCTGGGCTGAAGAATGATAACGGGGCCCTGAGGATGTGGACCCACTAAAACAGGAAGGAAGGCGCTGGTACTCAGTGAACCCAATGATGTAATCATCAGCATCCATGTAGATGACAAAGAAAACTGCTCATCATCAGCAGAGATGGCACAGTATTTCAGCTTGAACCCTTAATAACCTCATTTTCTGATAAGACAAGTCTGGGGAAACCTGTCCCAAAACTGTTCTCTGATTAATTTAGCAGCAGGTTTTGACCATGGTTCTGACTGGTTAAAATCTCTTTTTGTGTGAACCAGAAAATAATTTGTTGATCCTGACAAACAATTGTTACAGATCTGTCCAGAGCTGATCATGACCCTAAATGTTCTTTAATGTATAATTATATTAATGATCACACCTAACACAAAATCCTATGATGACTGACATTACTTAGGGAAGCCTCAGGCAAACACGCCAGTTTCTCTGTTGTTAGTGTTGGTCAGAGATTACAGAGGGACTGCCCACCATCAGAAAATGTAACTCCACCCCTAGTCAAGATTTGAAAAATGCTATGAAAGTGGGCATTGTCAGGAGGCAGAGAGTGCCATGGCCAAGTGTGGGGAATTTCCATCCTGGGAGAGAGGGGGAGTGGGAGGAGACTGTACCGATGATGTGAAATTGTACCAGTCCCAGTCAATCACAAGTTTAAAATGCAGTAGCCGTTGTTCTGCCACAGGGGGCAGCACTAAGACATGTGTAGATCTAGATTTAATCAAGTGTACACAAACATGTGAAAAAAATGCACAGAAACAGAAATATTGCTTTTGTAAAGACCCAGTTATACAGTTAAAAAGCAAATAATAATAATAATAATAATAATAATAATAACTAACCCCTTTTGGGGGTCTAGTTACTCTTTAAATGATTTATTTTGTGGTCTGGATCAGTTTGAAATGAATGAATGAATAAATAACTAAATAATTAAAGGGTTATTGTTTTTCTGCACAAATCATTTTAATGTAGTTTAAGCAAAATGTTCTTTGTTTTTATACCTTCGTGTGGACATGTGTACGTTTTACCTTTAATTTGCTACTATAGTGCTTCTGAATGTTCCCATATGGGACCATAAATGGCATTTCTGATCTTTTTAAAACTCATATCCAGTCGATAACTAATAAGATGAAATATCAACTACAAACATTTTATCAATCAATTAATTGCTTTAATTTTAAAGTGATAAATCATATTGCTAAACAACTTTTTTCCCCTATCTTTGATTATGCAGATTTTATCTACCAAAAACGTTATTACTTTATGAGTTTGACTAAGTTACATTAGCTTTGTTTGTTTTGCATGTTGTAAGGTATTATTATTATTTATTATTATTAATTATTTCTCTTTTTTTTTGTCTTTTTTCACCTACTTGCTGTATTCCAATTTTTGTGATGTAAACGAGCTATTTCATCCAAAAAACTTTATCCTCCAAAAATATAACTAACTAAATAAGTAAAATTTCTATTTCAATAAAACTTTTCCCAATAATTAGTAGCTATAAATAATTTTGTTTATACAGAACAAGACGTTTTAAAAAGTCATGAAAATCACTGTAAATCTAGATCTTCCAGCATTATGAATAATTTTGTGATTCCCTTTTTTCAGGCATTTTAATTATTATCTTATAATTGGAAACGTTCTCGGCTTGTTGAAATCATCACATTAATTATCACAAATGAGAACAAACAAACGCAACACTTTCCGCTACAGACAGATGTTTCACTTGCTTCACTTCACTTCTGACCAAGTCCTCCAAATACACCCACATCACCCCGCTTCTCCTCCAGCTTCACTGGCTGCCAGTCAACTTCAGGGTTCATTTCAAGATCCTGGTTCTGGTCTATAGGGCCTTACATGGACAAGCACCATCTTACATTGGTGATCTTCTTAGTCCCTACACCCCCAGCAGGTCCCTGAGGTCCAGTGATCAAAGCCTACTAGTTGTGCAGCACCAGGCTAAAGGTCAAAGGTGACAGATCATTTGCTGCTGTGGCCCCCAGACTCTGGAACTCTCCCCCTGAACCTGAGATCAGTGGACTCAGTGGTCTCCTTTAAAAAGCAGCTGAAGACTCACTTGTTCAAGCTGGCTTTTGTATGACCTTCTTCACCACTCTCTCTTTATTCTGCTCACCCCACCTATTCCACCTTCCTCAGGATCCACTGATTTCCCTCTTTCCTATTCACTCTCTCTCTTTCTTAACATTTTTTCTTTTAAATCCAATTGCCTATTTTTGCTCATTTGAAATATATTTTAAACATTTTCTAAATGCTTTTTATATTTTTACATTTTTTTTTTGTTTTTGTGAAGCGCCTCGTGATTTTTATCTTGAGAGGCGCTATGGAAATGATATTTTCTTCTTCTTCACTTTTGTCCCACAAAATTAAAATCCATGAATCCCACGTTTATTTGGATAGAATCGAGGCGCAGTCCATCATTGCGCGCTCTCGACACACAGCTTTTGTCGAGGATACCGTGGCAACTGAATAAATCCGTTTATAAATGACCTCAAATATAATTCCCTCAAGTGAACCCTGTCGGGCTCCGTACTTTTCTAAACGGTGGAATTATTTTAATTGTATCCACTAGATGGCGAAAAAGACAACCAGATAAGTGAACTCCAAGCCGAGCGTGGCCTTTTGAAATGGCGTCCTGATGAGATGGTGCCGAAGTTATTTCACCACTCGCTTTGTGTAATAAAACCACGTGACAAGTTTAATTTAAACTTGACTTGAAATTTTAATGGAATGTTTGGAGCCAAGCATCGGGCGCATTTGATGTTTACTGTGAGGGAAAGACTTAAAATGCAAAAAAAAAAAGTTTATTTTTTTCATATATTCAACAGATGATGCGTTTAACTGACTTTATAAAACTCTTAATGCATGATGACGTTTTAATTTTATTTACGCAGAAGTAAGGAGCGGAGATTGCTGACGCACACGAGGCGCGCAAACTGCGCGTTAAGTTAATGCCAAACATTTTATAGGAGCTATGTTTACGCCTCTTGTCAGTTCGCCTCCCTATTGACGGACACTGACCCAATGCATTGTGGGAAATGTAGTCTTCTGGTTTCGTTCTTCCAGCAGCTGGATCTTCTGAACGCTCACGTGATGACAATACACTTCCCACAATCCCTTGCGTTGTTGTTGGCTACTCTGAACCCTCCTCATGAATATATATCGTTCAGGATTTGCGTAGGAGGTCGGTCGACGTTCATTTCATATTCTATCTAGTACAGTATTTTTGGGACGCGCGGCTCTGTCACGTCTCCGCCCTGATCTGCCCCCTGAGCGGCCAGCCTCTTCCCAGCGATTTAATCAGTAAAATGTTTTCTCTCTTTCTTTTTTTTTAAATTTATTTATTAATTTTTTGTTGGAGCAGCGGAGGAGACTTCGACAGCAAGAAGTGAATGGCAACTGGAGGGATAACTAAACAACGCCGCCCAGCTGGCGGACATTTATTACGGCGGGCACGTATTACGGTTTTTAAATGTAGAGATTCAAGGCATAACCAAGTGCGCACTGATATTTCTTAAGAGTCGGGGGACTTCTTATTGGCGGAGATGGAAAGTGCGCCGGCTGCCGCTGAGGATGGAGCGTTGGATGGAAGCGCGACCAAGTTAAAGAAGAAGCCCAGTGGACTGTCTGTCGCCCGGGGGACTCCAGCGGATGATGGCGGTGGACGGTTGGCACCCTCCCGTGTAGAGACGAAGAACGAGAACTGCCTCTCTCATTCCGCCTCCATGCCTGGATCCGGTGCGTCAAACCGAACCGTGGCGTCTAATGGCCGTGGCTCGTCCGGAAACTCCAGCAGCTCTCTGTTGAGACGGCGGCGCTTGAGGAGGAACCTCTCCGCCACAGCTGCAGCCACCGCCACCTCAGCTGTCACTGCCGCGTGCGGCGCAAAGATGAGCTCGGCCCTGTCCGTTGCGTCTCTGCATACGCGGAGTCTGGACAGGAAGACTCTGCTGAAGCGCCGACAGAACATGCAGCTGCAGCCGTCGGATCGCCAGTGGGTGAGAACCGACCTCCACCGGGGCTGCGTACATGTCCATGACAGACTCATGCCCTCGTATCCCAGGCCGGTTCTCTGCACTACGGACACCACAGCCGGCGAGGTGGCGCTCAGGCTGAGTAAACTCAGCAGCAAGTCCTGCTCTGTCATGCGCATTTTCTGTAAAGAGGGCTCAAAGACTGACCAAAATGGCAACTGCAGCGTGAAGTATGAATACAATGATAATCCATGCCAAGTGAAAGAAGTCTCGAGTTTAAACCACCTGACTTCACTGGAATCCAGAGAGCTAAGAGGCCATCCCACTGACAGGTTGAGGCTGCTGCTCATGGAGGATGCGGATGACAGGCAAAAGCAACAGGACCCTAATGGAAAACTTTTCTCCCCGGAGTCAGAATCACAAGACAACATAACCTCTTCTCTGTCAGACCTGAACTCCATCATGGATACCCCTATTGATGATGATGATGATGATGATGATGATGATGATGATGACTCTGAGCACAGGAACGGCGCGGACAGCTATGGCTTGAACTCTGCCTCAGATGTAGAAAGCAGTGCATTTGATGAGCTGAGCTCTGGGGCCCTGCTCAGTGGGCACAGAGACTCCCTGAGCGATGACATGATTCTTGGAACAGAAGCATCCATCCTCAGTCCCTCTTTTGATGATGCCACGGAGAGCCATGACATTTATGGAAGCTCCTCAGATGAACTGGAGCTCGACTGTCCTGTGTCTAATGCAGCCATGGAGGCCGTCCCCCAACACCACACCAATGGCATTTCTGCTGTCACTGCCAGCTACAAGCAGTGCGACATGGGACTTTTAAATGACGTGACAAGAAACTTGGAGCCAGGTAGCAGGCTGAACACACACAGCCCAGGCAGTTTGCCATCCAGCAGTAGCGCCGGCTCATTGTCAAGAGCCTGTTTTAGTGATATCACACATGACATTCTAAATCCAGACCGAGGTGATGTGAAGCCGGGGCTGACAGAAAACCAAAATGGAGATTCTTGTGATTCCAGCCTGATGCTGTATGTTCAGCTGCATGGTGAAGTTGTGAGGCGGCTTAACCCAGATGAGAGGCCTCTGCAGATCCAGAATGACTTTCTCTTTAAGCTTGGATTTAAGGACCCTTGGAGAGTCCAAGAAGAAGGGCTCGACACGGAAATTGGCTCCCTGTTACGATTCTATGCAGGTAAAAATGACACATTCAGATAATTTGTGATTCATACTCACTTCAGAGTGTGCTGAGGCTGGATTCTTCTGGGCTCATGATCTAGTTTGGAGTCCAGCTCTATAATGTTGAGTTTATTACAGGTTTTTCACCTGTTTCAGAGCGAGACAGGTGTGTTTATGCAGGTGTGTAAAAAATGAAAGGTATTTTAATACTTTAACAAAAAGAATGATTGCTGCTCATTGCTTTACTGGAACTATAATTTAGAGGATTATTATTAAAGGATGGCTTGACTGAATCTACTTTCTCCAGGTCCAAGTTAACTGTGGTGGCGCAAGTGCACTTGTGGTCCAGAGACCTTAAACTACCTGTTTAGTTATACCTTACATCAGGGACATCCTTTAATTAATGTATATTTTGTTTCTTCCGGCTTTAACAGTCTGTTGGCCTGTAGCAGCACACTTTGCTCCCATGGACACTCATGGCATTGCCACAAGGCATTCACCAGAACTTATGGTGCACAGACATGGGGCACTTTCCGGCTTTTGGCCCATTATCATTCTAATGAAAAGGCTGAATGCTTTTGTGGTTGGATGGAGAACAGGGAAGGGAGCAGTGTGGCTGGGGGGACTATAAACCCCCTCTTTGGACTGAGTGAATTTTGATCATTGAGATGCTACACAGTGCCTGTCCTGTTGGCATCCAGCGCAGCTACTGTCACAATAACTGCCTGCCAAGCTGGGTTAACGTGCTTCTCCAAAGCGCAGGAAGCCCCTTTCCTTCACAAATGCCACTGCCTCCATCACTGCGGTTGTGGGAAGTGAAATTAGGAGGCAGCGAAACAATCAGAGACCTGTAAGATTAGCAGCTGTTGGGTGTAAAGTTTTGCAAAGTCTGAAAATATTATGTTTAATTCCAGATGATTTGTTGAACAGAAAGCCGCAAACAGATTCATGTTTTATTCTTCAAGGACTGTTGTGCTTTGGGTTGGGGCTCTGGCTTATCACACTGTCCAAGATGATACAAGAATAACATTATGAGTGATAAAAAGTCTTATTACAATGCAACATGTGTATGTTCCCACAACAAGACTGCAGACACAAGCAGGAGTGGCCTTCATAAACCATTCAACACCCAAAACCTCCAACACTGCACTGTTTTGTAAAATGTAATAGAAAAAAACTGATTTTTAGCATTTGATGCAAAATTAAGCAACAGATTACAACCAGACTTTAGAAAAAAAAAACAAGCAGCTGGTTATTGGGATCTAAAGTGACAATGTGTAGTTTTTATTGTTAATCTCTGGAAATATCCATCAAAATGTTGTTGAAAATCAATGAAATGACGCCCAGTTGTTGAAAAATTTGGCAGCTTAGTAACATATAACCATAAAAACCGGGTCTAAAATACATGGGAGCGAGCCTAAGTCTCTGGGCGATGCCATATTAAATGCCATGTTTTCTTGTACGGGAGCCCTTGAGGACAAAACACATTAACTGATTTGTTGCAAATGGTTACAAAACTTTCATCATTAATAAACTTGTTTTACACATTTACCTCTTCACTTGTTGCCAGTGATGAAAGGGAGTCTGACGTGCTTGTCATTAGTTTGCATTTCCTGGGCCTTTTTGACCCTAATGGGCATCCTTTGGTAAGGTCTTACTCCAACACAAAAACATTGCTTGCTTGCAACAATTTAGGTATCTACTGCACCCCTAGTTGCAGTAGTATATTTTTTTTCTATTTGCACTTAAAATTTATGTTAATTGCATTTTGTGACTTTTTGTGTGGGCTTTTGAGAATTTCAGGTAGTTGCATGAATAAAATAAACAAAGGTTTTTAAGAGAAAACAGAACTTGGAGTACTTTGGTGCTTTGATTTACCTTAATGATGCCTTTGTTATTGCAGCATAAGGCTGATGCTTTGTAACACTGGCACAGAACCTCATGGAAATGTTTATTTAAAGGAAACTGCCCTTTATTTGTTTACATTGATAAATCTCTACCTCCAAACTGCAATCAGGGATAACTGTTCTGTTTTTATTATCATTATCATTCTCATTATTGCAAATATCCTTGAGATCTTGTGATATACTCTCAAGGTTATATTGCCCACTGCTAGTTGAATTTTTGTGAAAATTATTTAATTCAGACTTGTTGCAAACTGTCTCAGTGAAGCTTGTGTGCAGAGGGAACAATTAAATGAACTTCACTTTAGTCTGTGCAACCAGCTTAGAAGTTGCAGAAGCAACAGCTAAAGTCGTTTAAGAAAAAATAATATAAAAGAGGCCATGATGCCTTTCTGATGGCTACGCCTCAAAATCCCATGTGAGACAGCTTAGCTCCGGTCACCTGAGCTGTGCTCCAGCTTTCCCATAGCCAAGAACACCACTCAACACCCAGGCTGCAGTCTCCTCATGAGGCCTAAATTTTAGCCACATGTATGACAGAACAGAACACTATTCCACACACACGCACAAGCTTGCCCTACAGCATGAAAGCAGCGCTAATGGCCTTGTGACATGTCTGTGTGCTCCTCTGTCATTTCCTCATGCATTCAGGCATGTGAGGAATGTACGCTGGCTCTTCTAGAATGTTAGGCACGTCTGCTGAGCAGGAAGTTGAGGAAGGCAGCTCATGGGGGTGGGCTGTATGAGAGGATAGTGTGCTGACACATGTGGAGCTGACTTTGGATAGTTGTTCTGCACAGATATGGGAGATAGCACAAGGCTCAGCTGACTTTCTGGCTGACCCTGAGGCACAGCTGCCACAGCTGTAGACCTCAATCACTCTAAAGGCCTTTTTGTCTGCATGCCTGTGCACGCTGAGGACTTCTTTCATACAGGAAGTCCAGAGTCCAAACCAAGCTTCACTGTTTAGTTTGCATTTTGTTTTGGACTTGCATGTTAGGTGTAATCAGCAAGGCAGAGCGATGCATTTTGTAGTTAATATCCAGGACAAGAGAAGGTGCCCAGCATGATTAGACAAGCAGAACAATGATCTGAAGAGGCTGTTATGTTGAGAAGTCACCATAGTGCATCATGCCAGATCATTGGGAGTTTACAAAGACCAGTTTGACTTTGAAGGGGTCAGGTCATGCTTTGAGAGCACACGCACATGCGCACACACACACACACACACACACACACACACACACACACACACACACACACACACACACACACACACACACACACACACACACACACACACACACACACACACACACACACAAAAGGCCACCCAGATCAAAGAGCTGCTGTCCTCTTTGGCAGGCTGATGAGGGATCCTTTCAGGACTGTCCACACAGGAGTCTCTGTAATAACTGGCCAGCTTTATCAAAGTAGAAAAGAAAAAGAAACAAGTACAAATTAACTTTAAAAAGTGCAAAAAGAACACTTTGTGTTGCAGAAAGGCTGAAATGCTACAACCAGGACTTAGGAGTTTTTTCTGATTGTGCTCTGAGTCACTTTTATGGTCATCTTTGTAGAAAATAAACCTCTGTTCTGGTGAAAGGAGACCCCCAGTTCACCAAGTAATGACAGCATTAATCGATGGAGGATTCGATAGAATCCTCAAATACTAAAATATTCGATATCTGCAGCACTACACTGAACATTCATGGACTCACCCATTTTAAATCGCAATGGGGAAGGCTGTTGCTGGTTTAGTGTCCAGGAAACAGCAAAGATAATCTTGACTAGCAGAAGCTAACTGTTAGCATTTGCAACTCCGCCACACAGGCAAAGCCCCTCCAGGCTTGTGTTATTGGTGGAGATAAAATATTAACATTGGAAGTCAGTGGTAGAGTCGCACTGATGTTATCCAATCTGAGGATAGATGTCCAAATATCAGGAAATGAGACTCTAAATCCTGCCATCTGAAGCTCAGCTGTGATATGGGTGACTTCTAGTTCCTGGAAATGGTGCTCTGGTGATTTGTCACCCTGAGTACGACTTGCACTGCATTCATCCCTACTAGAGACCACTGCAAATGCATTGATTAAATGAGTGTTCCACACCTTTAAATCAATTAAATATACATAATTTGCATCTGTGCAATAATGCATTATTTATAGATAAAATGGTTATAGATGGTGATAAGATTGACTGACCCAAGTTTTTAAAGCAATTATTTTTCAGATTTCATGTTCGCTTCCAGAAACTGCCATATATTTTTTTATGTGGATCAAAGCTGATTGCAGTCGTTTGAATACTGCACCTCATTTCCAGCTAATTCCCTTTTTGACATCATTGTCTACCACTGAAATGAACTTCCAGAGAAAAAGGCGTTTTGTTCCGAGCAACGTGATAATGCACATAATGGATCTGCTCTGGTTTTACAAAAACATATGAATGCAACTCCTACCTACAGACAAACAAACACATTCATTGTAAAAATAACAGTCGTTGTCATTTAGTGTCGAGAATGATTGGTTTCTCAAAATAGCATTTCATGGTGCATCTTTTAAATTGTCTTTGCAGCTGCTTTCAAAACAAATGCTCCTGCGGACTGGCCCAGTTATTGAGTGCTATTTGAAAAGCTACACAATAGCTCTAGTTTATTGCTTTGAGCTCACGCCACAGCTCCAGTGCCCCCAGGTTACCTTCAGAGCATCTTAGGAGACTGCAACAACTTTGGAAAGAATAATATGTAAAGAATTGTTTCAAGGGGGAAACGTTGTCCTCATGTGTCCTTATCACTTAACTTATTCTCACTTCCCTATATTGTCAATCAATTAGCACATTAATATATATATATATATATATATATATATATATATATATATATATATATATATATATGTATATATGTATATATATATATATATATATATATATATATATATATATATATATATATATATATATATATATATATATATATATATGTATGTATATGTATATATATATATATATATATATATATGTATATATATATATATATATATGTATATATATATATATATATATATATATATATATATATATATATATATGTATATATATGTGTGTGTATATA